CTGTTTCGACAGTAAAAGGGCGTGACTGAGATGTCGACCTAGTGGCAGGTTTAAATTCATGCATTTTGGGAAATATCGAAAGTAGCTCGTCGGAGAAGTTACCGTGAAATTACTTGAAGAAAATAGAGAAGAAGGCGACTGCACGTCTGTGAGAGAGCGACTGTAAACTAGATGCCAGATCAGAGCCAACGACATTGCATATCCGTCTCTGGATTTTTTCCAGGACCTTAAGACCAACAGCGGGTGGCTCCAGATCATATATGACAGCAGTATTCCATACAAAGGCGAACAGTTGATTTATAGATTTGAAGGATATACTCGAGTGAGAAAACCTTTCTGCAGAGACAAAGAGAGCCAATTTTCCTTGCGGTCCATGAAGCCTTAACCGCAAAACGAAGCAGTATCAATTGAGTGGGCAAAAAAGACAAACCGTTGCCTGGGATAGGGTTAACTATATATTCAAAGTTCACGTTACATTCATTAGTTCTTCTTCTAGTCTATATAAAACGAGTCTCATCTGAAGTATCGGCCGCGAATTCAAATCTCATCGGAATTTAATACTTTATTCAGATACACTTTGTCTATTTTAATGATTGGAAAGCATTCGACCCCGAAAGTTTTGATAGAAAACTAAGAACAATGAGATAAAGAAAAACAGGTCAAAAGCTAATAACGAAAATGATTTATCTAGGAATTATCTTAGGAGCTTACAAGCGACGCCATCTTTAGAATATCTTCCAGACAAGACACCGAGGAAAGAAAGGAAAGCAGAGATCTCCAAGCAGTAGAAGCATAGTAAACCCTAAACGTCAAAACAAGTGTAAAGTTTTTGCAAACCTGAAGCCCGGGGGACTTAAAAGATATCAAATGCTGTGCAAATAGCCGTGAAAGTATAAGAAAATCTGCGTCCCTCCATAGTTTACGTGATTGTACTTCCCGTCCATTTTTGTTTTGAATCGGATCTCCTCTGTCAGGTGTGGTGTTTAGTTACCGATTCTGATAATCTCAGTTAAGAACTCTTGTAAATATTAATTAATTCTAAGTAGGTTTAATTATGCCGACTATAATCGCTGAGTCAAATCGGGCCTCAGTTTCTTTGTGTTTCAAATGTGTTATGAACTTTCGCTCATAAACTGCTACCACTGGACGGACAAATTATGTACCGAGAGATTTATTTTTCAGTGCATCCACTTTGCTACGAAATGTGACACAAGGTCAGTTTGGGTTTAACGTTAATACCGCAGAAAAAATCATTAGGCCTCCTCGGCAATTCTCCATTTTGAGGACGCCTCGGGCGCCGGACAATATCCCTAGATCCTTCTCGAGTGACAGGTACTGCCTGGGGAATGCCCATCGGGGCTTGAGCGAATATTATTGACAGAAGAGCGAATCAATCTGCCGGTCAGCCTACGATACTCGGATAGCGACAGCGGCTCTACGCTTACTGCTTAAGCATTTATATAGTCTCGGCCTTAGCTGTACTAATTAAGTAATTGTTTTCATGTAACGACAAATTGTAAGGAGAAGCTTTTTACAAGTCAGATTGAGCCTAAAATGGATTCTTTTAATCATTTCACCCCAAGCAAGGCAATAAAGTCACTAAGATGCAGGTTGTTACTGAGTGATAAAGAATATGAGAACAAATAATATTAACGATAGAGAACATTAACAAAATAAGAATTAAGAAAGCAGTAGATAACGATTGACATTGCATTTAAATTTTTGAAGATCAAAATTGAATGGAAAGCATGAAATCAGAAAACAGTTCCACAAGCAAGAATTGTGATGGAAGAAACTGTTAACATAAAAAATACGGTTACACCAAGCCACTCTAACTGTAAATTAATGAAACAATTTTATCAATCTAGTACTGTGCTTAAATTCATAAAGCCTCCATGGGGGAAAGTTCATCCGAATAATTACCATGAATGTATTTAGAGAAAAGGCACAGGTAAGCTACATTACTGCAGTGAAAATGTGAGTGAAGTTGAGATGCCAGATGCCAATAACATTACATATTCTTCTTTGGATTTTATCAAGAAGCCTTAAATATATAGCATCCTCAGGCTAGATGTGGCCGAAATATTTAAAAGCAAGGACGAATCTTAGATTTATAGATATGTAAGATAGATTCTGACAAGAAGATTTATCTCGCACGTGCTGAAACTTCTCAACCCAAATTTTTAGCCTTGTTAGAATTTAAAATCTTTTATGTTTTTGTCAGTTAATTGGCTACTATTTCTATGGTAAAGGATGAGATGAGTTCCAGTCTTTAGTTGAACCAGATCGTTTCAGTTAGGCTACCTCTACGGAGTCGAAACAGCCTCATTTACTTCATGCGCCGAATATAAGGAAAACTCAGCTTTTCACAAGAATTGCGTCTCCATGGGACCAGTTTCCGTGTAGTTTTCCTCCTAAAAACTAGAATCATAACCTTTTTCTCTCCAGAATCTATCTTACATATCTATTTGTCTATCATTCGTCCATGCTTAGAATATTGCTGTCACATATGGCACGGTACCCCTGTTATTTACCTTGAGCTCTTTGATAAAATCCAAAGAAGAATCATCAATTTTTTCATTCTGATCTGGTGTCTCGACTTCAGACATTTTCGAACCGCCGTAAGTTTTTCTCCCTGTGTCTTGTCTATAAATACTTTCATGGTAATCGAGCATGCAGATAAGCTCTTCACTATAGTACCTGGACTTTAAACTCTTCACAAGAGTACCTGGAATTTAAACGCAGTACTGTACTTGAGTCGAGATCTCATTAATTTACAGATGAGTTAGATTTAACCTTATATGCTATGCTAAGAGTTTCTTTTCTTGCACTTCCCGCTCATGGAAATGCCTTCCGACCCCATTTTTAAAACCAACTTTGAGTCGCAAAAATTTTAATGTAATGTCAATCGCTATCTATTTGTCCCGTTGATTACTCTTGTTTTGTTCTCGCTCCCTAGTAATGTTTCTGTTTTCTAATTCTTTCACACTCAGTAGCCTCTTGTGTCTATACTGCCTTGCTTCAGCTGAAGTCAATTAAAAATAAACATAGCGGAAACTGCAGACCGGACGTGGCACCGATGTTCAATGCACGGAAAAAATGGCAGACTTGTAAATTTGCGAGAAAGATTCTGGAGAGAGGAAAAACTGTATTACACAAAACTATGAATCAACTTTTCTACCGTCCAGTGTATGACGATAAACTACAACCACGTCCTGGGTAAGACGACAAACTGCATCCACGTCCTGTGTGAGACAATAAACTACGTTCGCGTCCAGGGTAAGACGATTACATCCGTGTACTGGGTAAGACGATAAACTACGTCCGCGTCCTGGGCAAGACGATAAACTACATCCACGTCCTGAGTAAAACCAAACTACGTCCGCGACCTGGGTAAGACGATAAACTACATCAGACATCAAGGTATCTAATCAGGAGGTTTTGAGGAACATGGAACCACCTCTTAATTGCTAGTGTTCGCAGATACACCCTGACCCGGCGTGGTAGCACCGGGTAGGGTCCCAGCTATGAACAAATAGTTAACCCCTAAAACAAGTTCATGAAAGTGTAAAAATAGGTTTTAATACCAGAAATATGTTTTTGTAAATAATTATGTTCATAAATAAATTATTACCAGAAATACATTTTTGAAAAGAAAAATTTTACCATAAATACATTTTTGAAAAAAATTTCCAGCTATATATTTTTTGAAAAGATATTAGCAGCAATACATTTTTGAAGAAAAACTATTACGAGCAATACATTATTACCAGCAATACATTTTTGTAAAAAAAAAAAAAAAAAAATGACCAGCTATACATCTTGAAAAAAATATTTCCAGCTATACATTTGGGGAAAAATATTACCAGCTATACATTTTTGAAAAATAAATATTACCAACAATAAAAAAAAATCTTGTCGGCATTAAATAACCCATTGAGATTGTTATGCCGTAAAACAAAATAAACCAAACAAAACCAACCAACTTTTCTATAAGAAAAAATAGGGGGGCATGTATTTGTATAGCCTCTCTAGGGATTGGGATAGTTAACTCGGCGCTAGATGTCAAGGTTTCAACCGAAACAAATGTCGGTATTACTAAGAAATCACTTCCTTTACAAATCGACCCTAGTGACAACCATAGTCGAGTTTAACGTCCTGATTGTTTGACCATGTGTTTATAAACGAGTTTTTAAAATTCTTTTTTAAGTGTCAGTTTGAATCACGGCTTTCCCTCAATGAGACTATCTGTTGTACTTTTTCAAAGTATTTTTAATTACTTTTAAAGTTTTTTTTTTTTTTACTTTTTTAACGGTTTTTTAAGTACGTTTTTACTTTTCTTTTTTCAATTTTTTAAGTAAATTTTAAGTACTTTTTTTTAAGTGGTAGTTTGAAAAACGGTTTTCTGCTAACTGGGTGAATACATCTACCTTTAAAATACATTCAACTGTTAGAAACCATAATTTTGGATGCGGATTTTACAAACAGACAGTTCTTACCGTTTTTTTGGGTACGGTATAGCACTATCTTCTTACTCTCTTTTCCTCTACACTTTACCCTTGAAGAGTACAAAGCTTAGTAAATATTAATATCAAACTGTGGAACAGCACAGTATGAGTTGTGATATTTAAAACGGCAGTGTTAACTGTCAAGCCCAACACGCGTGTTACGGGTAAGGTCCGGTGTGTGTAACCGGATTTAGAGAGAAAACATCTGCCCCGAACTTGTCAAACATCACAAAAAATAAAACTGGCTACTGACAAAGTGGAATGATTAAGAAAACCGCCCAAGTACGTTCAATTAGTGAATGAGTTATTTAGCCCCTCTTTTTTCTCTATCTCACTCTCTTTTTTTTTGTGTGTGTGGGAGTGAGCATGCGTGTATTTATGTGTGATCAACCTTCCCTTCGTGTTTTTATTAAGTTAAATTGTTTGCTATTGGGGAAAATGTCAGGAAGATGGAAAAAGAGAATAGATTGAAAAGCGGGAAGAAAGAATTGTTTAATGTTGGAAGGAACAGATTGTGATGCGTTTCCTTAACTGAAAGGAATTCGTGATAGAAATACGAAGAAGGAATGAAATATGGAAAGTTCCGATCGAAGAATAGTGCAAACCTAAGATAGAAGGAATGCCAGTGCCACTAGGAAATGAGAAAAAGAAAGAAAATGAACTGAAAATAATGGTTAAAAGAAAGAAAACTGATCGAAATTTAAAAAGAAATATGCTTTTATCAAAAAAAAAAAAAAAAGACAGCGATTTAATATATAAAAGGAGGGAAAGGAAAACCTTTAAGAAAGAAAAAAAACAAGCTACGTAATTCCCCATGTATAATACCCCCTCATCCATAATACGCCCACCTAAAACTGTGCTGAAAGTGTTGAAAAATGCTTCTACTCACGGGTAATACGTACCCCTTGTTTGGTAATCAAACCCTATAAATTATACCTCTCCAATTTCATCACGGCTAGTGTTTTCTATTCTTATTTTAAAAAATGGTTTTAAACATAGAATAATATTATTCTACTTTAGTTATATGATAATTCTTATTTTATTTTACATCCGTAAGTATTGTTAGGTACATATGATTGGCGTTGGCATCCTGATAGGGTCGCAATCGCCATATGTATGTGTTTGTGGTGAGTAGTAATTTCGCAACTGAAATTGGCCTATGAAACGGCAATTTTTTAAAGATTTTTTGTAGCTGTGCATAATACGCGCTCATAATTTTGCTTATTTTTTTTTTTTAGAAAAAATGCGTATTATACTTGGGGAATTACGGTATTAAAAATATATATTTATCAAAAGGTTAGAAAGAAAGAATCAGGAAATAAAATAAAAGAAATAGAGTGAGACAGACAGAAATTCGGAAATAAAAGAGAGAAGAACATTTAGAGGGGAAAAAAATAAACAAATACAAAAAACGAAGTATAAGCAATAGACATTTATCAGGAAAAAAGAATAATTTGGGTGGAAGAAAGAAAGAACGAACGAACGAACAAAGTATTGAAACAGAGAAAAGATAAGGATTAAGCCTGAAAAGAAACTGAAATCTTAAAACATTAGTTACTTATGAAAAAAAGAATTTTAAAAGAATTTCTAGAAAAAAAAATGATATTAATGGAGCAAATAACAAAACCGAAAGAGAAAAATCAACGGTAGTGAATAAATAATAATGACGTAATAAAAAAAAAAAAAAAAGAAAGAAAGAACGTAACAAATTACATGAAGAAAGAGTGGGGCACCTCGAAGTGGTGTAATGGTTAGCAAGCTTGTCTCGCTAGAACAATTACGACTGGGTAGTGAGTTCGATCCTCACTGGGTGAACCATACTTTCGGCCCTGTGCCACATCTAAGCTACGCTTGGAAAATAACTACATGAAGAAAGAGTGAGAAGAAGACAAAGAGAAAAAAAACAGATGAAATTATAAGAAAAAGGAAGAAAGAAAAAGATAAGAGGGAAAGAGATAAAAAAAACAATGAAGGCAAAAAAAAGTAAAAGTTTAGAAAAAGAAAGATATGATTAAAGTAAGGAGGAAGAAAGTGAATAAGGCAGACATCAGAGAAGGAAATACAAATGAAAGAAAGGAAAATGAAAAATAAAAAAACATAGCTAGCAGGACAAATAAGCAAAAATGAATCTGTTATAAGAATAAAAAAAATGATTCCAAGAGAAAGACAAAATGAATTACCACCATGAAGAGAAAGTGGGAAAATGAAAGCCATCTTTTGAGAATAAAAAATTCTAAGAACGAAACGAAAAATAGAAAGAAAAAAATTCTGAAAAGGAATGAAATGGCAATCTATAAAACAAGATCAAGAAAAATGAAGTCATAAAGAAAGTTAAAAAGGAAAAAATAACGATATTTTTTGAGATTTTCAAGAAAAAAAAAGGATAAAAAAGCGATTTGCAAGTTGAAATAAAAACAAGTATATCAGTGCACAAGACGCAAGGAAAACGTGTCGTTAAAAGTACCAGAAAGACTTATCAGTACAATGAGTTTTGTTTGTCTCTCTCTCAACTGAGCCCCACACGTAATTATCAAGGGGTTTGCTGTCTGGTGAAAACGGTAGCCAGATGCAATGGGAGTTGTGGTCGCAGAAATTGTTTGACAGCCATGAAAGTGTTCTCTTGCTTGTGTGGCATTGTGCAGAGTCCTGTCGCCAGACATAAGGTCTCCCAGCAGTCAACCTCTTGATCCAGGACAGCAGTGTCTCCTCAAGGCAATGTAAGCCTCAGCGTTGAGTATGAGGTCCTCAGCAAAAAATATAGTAATTCTTTTCTTATCAGAACGATTGGAGTAATTTTTCCGAGCGTCCATACCTTGGTAATCTTCATTAGACACATCCAACTCTTTCCGAATCTTCTGCACTGTCTTCAAATTGGCACCCAAATACTTTAAAATGTTTGTATTGGAGGTTCAGGTGCGACATCCAAGGAGAATGCTGTTTCCAAATTTCTAGCAGAGTTAATTGCATTATGGTGGTCTTTTTTTTTTTTTTTTTTTTTTACAGACGGTGACCAACTGACCCTGAGCCGAGTTCGAATTCCAGTCGAATCCATTACATTCACTTACGTGCTATTAGCCTTGGGAAAGGTATAAATCCTCTTCTTCTCCCATCAGCTATGGATAAATAGCAGGACAAACTGGGTTCTATAGCCTTGGATGGCAACTGTTCTAGGAGAAGCACAGCTCTGAATTCAAAAACCTGCAGAGGATTGTTTGGTGACCTTGTGGCACGTAGTGCGCCATGTCTCCGTATTCGTCCCCTCAAAAAGCATGTTTGGTTCTGCACAAAGAATTCACCACTATAATCAAATCATATGTGCTGGTGTCTGGCTATCGATTCCTAGGAACTGAACTGTTTGACCCTCAATCGACGAGAAACCACTATATATATATAATCGACGAGATATATATATATATATATATATATATATATATATAGGTAACTATACTCGTTTTCGAAAAACCCTCGAATTTTGATTTGCCAATAATCAAATCAATCTCGAGGAAAAAAGGTTTTAAAAAAAGAAAGAGCTAGAAACATGAAAGTCTGTCGAAAAAAATCGCACAGATACAGGTTTGAAGCCCAAAGAAAAAAAACCCGACACGAGTAAACAACTAACAAAAGAGGTCAATAAAACCGTAGAGCCAGCTTTCCCTGACGACCCGCGTAGGTGAAACCTGGGTAGGTTTGTCTGGCTCACTAGGTCTCTCTCTCTCTCTCTCTCTCTATATATATATATATATATATATATATATATATATATATATGCGGAGAGCAACCTTTCTTTTAAACATGAAAGACTAGAAGAATTTGATTAATTTTTTATTTAGTTTTCCTAATAGTCTTACATTTTTTTCGTATGCTGAGGGTAAGGGATTGTAAAAATTGTCCGTTGTTTCTGTTGTCACAAGCGCTTTCATAGTCTTCTTTATCCATTTTTCAAGTGGTTTGTTGTTGAGCGTTGTTTAACTTTTTTTCATGGTTGTCTGTTTATGATGTAGTCGTGTGATGCCTACATAGTAGTAGCGTTTCTACCGAGCCCAACGAAAGGAAAGTGGCTGGAATATAAAGTCATGCTAAATTCATGTGGCAGGGTCTATTTGCTTAATTTTTATTATATTTCCCTAGCTTTCAAATGTGGAATATTGTTCAAACATGATCAAATCTGCTTCACACACACACACACACACACACACACTTATATATATATATATATATATATATATATATATATATATATATATATATATATAATTATTTATTTAAAAAATATGATTCCAACACGCTACATAAGAGTTCTCATGTTTCAAAACAAGAGCCGTAAACTTCAATATAATTATTTGAATTAAATTGAATTAAAGTACTAAGCTCTGTTCCATCTTCAAGCGAATTCTTTTTGGAGAATAACTTATTTCTGAAGTTTACGTGTTTTATAAGCATATTCATTATTAAAATTAAAATTTCTATGGTAACGGCTAGAGCAATTGTTTAAAGAAAAAGGGGCGTAAGGTGTTAATAATTTGTATCAATATCTCAGTTACATTCACAGATGTCAAGTCAGAGTAAGGTTGGGGTGTCTAAATTTAAAGCGGAAGATGACATCGTCTAGTCTGGTTAAGCGTCTATGGAGATTTATTTATTTTTTTATTTTATTTCTGAAAGGGGTTTGTTTATATAAAAACTGTCGTAAATCGCTAACATTTGTTTTTTGACGACTTCATAAAGGGTTATCTTTTTTTGTAGGGCATTTAAACTATTTATTAGGACTATGGAATTTAAAAATTATTTTACTGTTTGTTTGTTTTTATGCTAATTATTCAATGCAAAAATTTGATGATGTCGGCAAAAAACCGTTAACTCCTGTCTATTGTTTAATAGATTTTTTATTATTTAGAAACTTAATAATGTGTATATATATATACGATGCACGATCAAAAAGTAGGACTGTTTCTACGATAACGGAGCTAAAGTGAAGCCACTTCGCACAGATTGACCTTGAGCCCTGTAGCGCATGCATACTAAAATATAATGTTCTCACTCGCTTCCGTTGTTGATAGCTGTGCTTGAAATGAAAGTGTGTAGAGTGAGGTCGTATCACCACGGCACACCACATCCCATTGGTTCCATCAGTGACCATGGCTTTCGCAGTAGTTTTTGACCATGAAGGACATTTTTTCAGGCCTGAAAAGCACCATAATCTCCAGGTCTTGTCCCTTGCAACTTTTTCTCTATCCAAAAATCAAATCCAACTTGTAAGAAACAAGATTACAAAACATCGTGGCACTCCAAGTGAATGTGACTAGACAGCTGCTCGCTATCCTCCAAAAGGTGATGGAGGAATACTTTCAACAATGCGACTACAGAAGGGAACTACTTCGAACGAGATTAAAAGTATTAGGTTGGTGCAAAAATAATGACGTAATAATGTCGTTTTTGGCGTAATTTTAAGGTCAGAAAACGACATTATTACGTCATTATTTTTGCACCAACCTAATATATTATTGAACTTGAAGTAATACTCGAACTCGTTGAGATTCTCTAAGTTACTTGGATGCCAGGGTCAGTGTAATGTGTCTCCAGATAATACTATTGTAACGCTCATTGTCCTTTCCCTTGTGAATTATAAGGCGTTCTCCTACTGGTTGCAATTCCTAATTTATTTTTCAGGTACTTTCGCAGCTCCCTCGTCAGAAATGAATGTCTCCGATCAAAATGGATGTATGCAGACATTCCGAACACAAATATTATCTGATTCAGTCATTGAATGAAGGTTTTCGTTTTCATTTTTTAGGAAGAGAATGCTAAGGGAAAACGAAAGTTCTTATCTATTACTGTGAGTACTTATCTGTTCCTGAAAGTAAAGAGGTACGTGTCCTCCTTCGCCGGGCAACGATTGCGGTTGTAACTAACGCATCCACAAAAATAGGACCTGTTTTTTGGAGCTGTAATGGCACAAGTTGTACCTCCAGAACGATGATGGTCCAATCCTACTTCAGTGATATCATTTACAGTCGCTCTAAAGGGACGAGCAACATCAAAGGCCATAGCGTGATCGACAGTCGTACTTAAGTCTAGGGTTTTATTTTGCAGCAAGCGATGCCTAATAGTACGCGAACATAGGTCACTAATAAAAGCGTCTCTAATTTTGTGAAGTTTTAAAATTGAAGTCTTTACCGAACAGTTGAAGCCGTTGCACAATTTTGTCTATTGGCTCTCCTTCTTTTTGCTTTCAAGTGGCTAAAATATGTCTTGCAAACACTTCGTTTTTTGGTTCTATATAATGTGTCTAAAGCTGATTTGCAATCATCACACTTCGTACTATATTCACACACTGTAGAAAAAAATAACAAAGTCAACAAGAGCGTCAGTATGATAGAATCTTTAGCTTGAATTGATCGTTTAAAAGCACTGAGGCATGGTACCAGTGTGCAAAATTCTTGTTCACTGAGGGAGATTTCGTTGATACATTAAAAAGTTCTGATTTGAGGAATTTATCAATACTTGGTTCATGCCCAGTTCATTAAGTTGAAGTGATAACAAGCACAACGTGAGAAATTTAGAAGGCTTTAATGAACTACCAAGCCAACAACAAAAGGAGGTTATTCAGGCAAGTCTTCTGAATACTGCAGGGCGGTTAATTAATATTTTAGGGTGAATTAACAGAAAAGATACCCACAAAATAATAGCATCTTTTTCATTCCCAAATGTATTTTTATCGATTTATTCAACCCCAGTATTCCTATCGTCTGGCGATACATGCCTCTGATTATTTTTCCAAGAAAAAGTTGTGTTTTTCATCACTTACATATCCTGTTTTGGGTTTTTTTTTAGAATAATTGCTTTTTGTGCAAGCAAATGACTTCGGAATGCACAGCTATAATTATTTACAGGGATCTATATTTACTGCGAGTTCATGCTAAGCAGGGGCTTTTTTTTTAAATTTGTACCAAGAGGTTATTTCAGCATCGAAAATTGGCTAGATTAGAAAGCGCTTGGCAAATAATAAAATAAAAAGGAAAAATTACCGATTATATAAACCTACTTAAATTTTCTTCGTTTAAATCATGATTTGCAATCGTTCGCTCAGTACTTTGAACCGGGTTAGTTTAGGAACATCGGCTACAGTAAGTAAGCTCTTAAAATCCAAAATATGTTTTGGCTTTGAATAACCCACGAAGGGTTGATAATTCGTAAAAAAAATGAATTCCTTTTTT